GTATAAGCGGATAGCACAGAGCCTTGATCGGGGAGACACACACAGTGCACTCTCGTCCACGCAATAAAACAAAAATAAAAAAAAATATAAAAAAAGGACCAAATCAAACCACCAACAGGACTATTTGGTATAATAGAATAAAAGTGAAACTATTTGATAAAACAGTTTGTGAAGTAGGATTTATTGGTAAATAATCCAATAATAAACCCAAATCAACTTCCAATGAGAGACAGCAAAAGCAACGGCCAAGCGCGCATCTTGAACTTGAAATACACCCAGCAATAGTCTTCCACGCAAATAAACAAATATTGCAAAAAGTGTTCACCTAATCACACAGACACTGAGCAGTGTTTTGGAAAATTGGTAAAAAATTAATTTTTTTATTTTTTTGGTCTATTTTATCTTTTTATGAGTAAAAAAATATAAGAGGTAATCTGACCCAATATAGGTAAAAAATTAAAAATTAACTTTTTACCCTCTTTCCAAAAGACCCTAAGCTTTTCAACACCAAGCTCACACCCGCGAATATATTAATCAGCCACTGCCCTCTCTTTGGAAAAACAAAAACAATATTCAGAAATATTGGTGATTCTTGAATTTTTTATTAAAATCTTAACTGCTACCAAATAAAATATTAAATATTCATTGAGCCTTTAAAAATTAAATATAATATATAAAAAATATATTATAATCAATATCAAATTAAATGAAATATTTTTAATAAATTAATTGAATCTCATACTTTACTAAAGATGTATACCCAACATATGAGGTATGAAAATGTGCTGTAAATTGAAAGGTTTTTTGGTTTTGAGAATTTCGTTTTTCAAACTTTGGAGTCCTCAAAAAGGGTGAGTTTTGTTTGGTTTTAATAGACATGGTCACATGGATGGCACAACAATGAAGGTTATTTTAATTGGATCAAAGGTCAGAAAGTTCTCATTCATGTTGAGACTTCTTAGGTCATGTAATGAGAAAAGTGATATCAATTAAACAATTATCCAATTTCAAGTGACACAAATTCAAATAACAGTTTGGTTTGGAATTTTAAAATATATATATTTTTTTTAATTTTGAATTTGTATATTTGTATTTTTTAAAATATTTTAATTATTATTATTTTTTAACCTTTTATATCCATTTAGTCTTGATATTCTTAAAAAGTATAAAATTTGTACAAAAAATTTTTAAAAAAATTATTGAATACAGCAAAATATAAAAATTACAAAAAATATAAAAATTGCAAAAAATCAATATATTTTTATATTTTGTTATATTCAATAAATTTTTCTATCACAAATATTATACTTTTTAAGTGTATTCTATATTGGGTATATTTAAAATAAAAAATAAACAAAAATATGTAAAATATTAAAAAAAACCACTAAAAATAAAATAACAAAATACAAAAAAATAAAAAGCTCAATTTTATTTTTATTTAAAAAAAAAAAAAACCTTGTAAACCAAACAAAAGTGTTTCAATGAGATGTGAGATTATGCAACAATACTTGGAGTAGCTGTGAATTTCTAATTCACTTAAAAAATTTAAGAGTTATATTTAAATTTTTGTAAGAGCATCTCTAATGGTTCACTTTTTTTTTTCATCAAATTGGAGTAAAAAAATGACAATTTTCTCAATCTGATATGAGCTACTCCAATGGTAAGGCTAAAAAACATTTTTTTTACCTTTTTGAACTTGTTTGAACCTACTTATTTGAACTGTTTGAACCTTTTTCGATCGACTAGCCGTACGTCCGGTAGGTTGATCGGTGGACCCACTTGCAACATTATAGCACAGTGAATTGGTGAAGGCTCACGCAGATTCTCAGTTTGGTGAAAATTTTGCTTCATTCTCAGTTTGATATCAGTTTGGTGAAACCATTGGAGTAAAAAAAAATGACTTTTTTCATCAAATTCAAATTTGACACTGAATCTGATGCAACATTGGAGATGGTCTAAGGGTAAGTTAAAATAAGTTTTTGACAAAATTATATTGACTTCTCATTAGTAAAATTAAGGGAAAATTAGTTTACGGTCCCTCTCCCAATTTTAGTAATGGAATAGATCCACAATATTATTTTATAATGTCTAAGGTCCCTCAACCCCACACCCATGTATTACAGAGAAATTTGGTATAAGCTTCAAACCTTTACCTCTCTCTCTTTCAGACTCACGCCTCACCTCTTCCATTACTCACCCCATGGAAGATCAAACTCTTACTCCCCGCCTACACATTTACCGTCAACACCTCTCGCCGTCCCAACAGCACCGTCAACCGCCGCCTCACCACTTTCCTCGACCTCAAATCTCCTCCATCTGGCACTAAACCCATCCACGGTGTCACCACCTGCGACACCACAATCGACTCTTCTCTCAATCTCTAGTTCCGCCTCTACACTCCCACCGCCCTCACATCCACCGCACCACCATCATCTTCGTACCATTCTCGGACGATGGATTCTACGCCGACGATGCGGCGGGCTTTGGGACCGGAGTGGTAGAAGAAGCAAAGGTCGCCGAGGCGCCATGCCTTTCCGATTTCAATCAATATTAGTGCAAATGAGCTTTAATTTTTCTGGGTATCATTAGAAAATATATAAATGTGTTTTGTAATTGCAATTGTAATTTGTTTCTTGGATTTGCAAACTTGTACTTTGGTTTGGGAAGTGAGAGTGATTGGATGGGATGTGTGCTATGGAGTTGAATTTGTGCCTGGTTCTGAAAGTGGATACGCGGTGATTATACAGAAGTCGAGGAAAATTGTACCAGCCGATGAAACCGTGGTCTCTAAAAGCTTCAAGATTGGGGAAAGTGGGAAAGTTGTGCTCACATTTAACAACCAAACCTCAAAGAAGACGAAGCTACTCTACAGGTCCAAGAAGAACATGTTTCTTATGTCACCCAAGTTGTGCAACATGTTTCTTATGCCTAGGCATCCATGTATAATTTCGGGACTTTCACCCAAGACATTCCGCCCAACTTAATTATAATGGAGTTCATCCCCTTTCTCCTCTCAAACAATGGAGTCCATCCCATTTCTCCTCCCAAACAATTATACATATACAATGTATTTAGACACGGTCATATTCAATGACAATCATCAACAAATTAGTTTCAATTCACATAATCTATATGTAATTTCTACAACAGTCAAAGCTATTTTCCACCGATAGCCCAAATACAGTTATCTCTAAACATATATTCAATCTCAAACAGATAATATGTATTCAATTCCACCATTATATCAGAGATCATCAAATTTCACATTTTCAATGACAAATTCAATTATTTATACAAAATAACAATTTGATCCAATTAGGGCAAGAACCTCTTTTTCCAAATATCAACCCAAGTACCAAAATCCACCATTTTGACACAACACGAACATATTTTCAATTCCTAAACTCATTTATTTCATATTTACCAGAACCTCTCTTTTTTTCATTTTACCCCCAAACCCTAGGTTTGATCAAACTACTCCCAAATCCCACAATTTTTACACAATCACAAATAACTAAGCTAAAAACTATATGAAATTGTAGAAAATCCCTACCTCAAAGAGTGAAAACGAGCCAAGCAAGAGTGAAACACCGAGAACACCGAAACCCACTTATATTCAGATCAAAATGAAGATCTTGAAGCGCTCTACCTTTTTTCTCAAAGGCACCAGGGTGGAAATCCTAACGGATCTAGATGAAATCGAAGAGAGAATGCGAGTTTTAGAGAGAGAAACTCAAGATCTAGATATTTGGGGAGTTTTAAAGAGAGAGAGAAGAAAAAGTGATTCAAGATGACATCTTTATGGATTGTTATACATACAGTTCGCTCGAGCGTGGAAAGTGACGCTCGAGCGTTAAACACAAAGTTCCGCTTGAGTGTGAGACTGGACGCTTGAGCGTCCAATGCACTATTCCAATATTTGTAGGTCTGCCAAAAATACTAAGAGTTTACAAGTCCCGCTCGAGCGGAGGAGCAAAATTTGTGAAAGCTCGCTCGAGCGCAAGAATGCCGGTTTGAGCGGAAGAGCCAAAATCTAAGTATCAAAGGTTTGGAAATACAAGTAACCAATCTATTCCAAACGCACAATTACAACCCAATAACCAAAATAAAAGGGGAGATAAGGGAAATAAGATATGAATAACCATCCTAAATATACCAACTCGAGTCCGGAATACAATAGACAACGGGTCAAAATTGGAATCGCTATAGTAATGGCAACATTGGTAATAGGAGGGTGTGGTGGTTGGGGTGCCAATAGGGTGGCAGCGGCAATATGGTGGTAGGAGAACATAATAGTGGTAGTTGTTAACTAATATATATTTTTTTTAAGTGCCAACAAAAATAATAATAAAATTGTATGGTCATTCCATGATAGAATGGAATGAAATGGGCAATTCTTAGGTTAGAATAAAGAATAGACATTCCCTTATTTTGTTAGAATGACCATTCCAATGAAATGACTATTCCCATTTAAATAAGGTGTACCAAACAAAGGAAAGAAAATGCAAAGCTAAGATGAACATTCCATTCCAGCCCATTTTATCGTACCAAACAAAACCTCAAGAGAGACTAGTGTAATTATGTCAAAAGTGTAAGACTAATTGTATTTTGAATATATATTTTTTGAAATTTGTTTAAAATATGAATTGGCCCTTATAGGTTGAAAAATTACAGATATCTCATTGTCAATTTTTTTATTTAACTAAATTAATTGAAAAAATAAAATTTATAACTACTTTCTAATACAATGCTAAAATTATCTGAATTATTAATTGAAATAATTTGTTGACATAATTTAAAACTGTTAATTGACTTGATGATTTATTAATAAAATAGATAATTTATTATAAAATTATAAACTTCAAAAGATGAGACATAATTTTCAAAATTATAAAAAACAAATTATATTTTAAGCCAACCTCAAAAGTTATATTTATAATTTATCCATGTATTATTTTTATGAAAATTCATAAGTGGTGAGTGTAATTTACCCAAAATCAAAAGGACCTGTTTGGGTGATTCAACTCCAAAAACGGGATAGTACCCTCCCGCGAAATCCGAACCCCAAATTCCCGCCCAAATCAAAATCTAACTTCACATTTTCGACCCCCTTTATCAAACCCTAACACCACCATTTTCCACGGCAGAAGAAGAAGAAGAAGATCAACAATTAGCCATGAAAATCAGAACAGTGAAGCTTCGAGAAGCTCACAAGAACAATGGCGCCGCCACATACTGTTCGATCCTGTGGGACCTCCAAGCTCAGCACATCGTCACTTCGTCTTCTTCCGACTCCTCGATCTTCATTCACGATCCGCTTTTGCTTTCGAGCCCGCCGAGTATTCTCCGCAATCACCGCGATGGAGTCACTAGCTTGGCTCTCAGCCCCAACTCGACTTGCCTTGCATCTGGATCTATGGATCATTCCGTGAAGCTCTACAAATTTCCAGGTGATTCTTGTTTGATTTTCTCGATCTCTTGCGTAAAAGTGTTTTAGAAATGTCAATTTAATCAGCAAATGTTGAATTACGATGGAAAATATGTGTGTGAATCAGTTGGTTTGCTTTAAAATTTCTGCGACATCGAAGGATTGGATGTGATTTATTGTTTCAAATCAGGTTTATTTGCCTAGTATTGTTTAATTTGCTTGAAACCTCTTTAATCTCACTTCGGTTTTGCCTTTAATTCATTGGTGGAACTCTTAGATCTATGTGCATCTTTTTGGTCATTGACTCTGTGTAAGAGATTGTAGTGCAATATGATAACGATTTAAATGAAGCATATTAAGATGTATTTTTTTTCCAAAAAAATTATAAAAATTAGCAGAGGATCCAATTAGGTAATGTTGGAAGGAAGTTTCCTACATGAGCTGAAATTGAATGGCAAGACGGGCAAAAGAGTGTTGCCTGTTAAAATTTGTTTGTCAATGTCGGAGAATTGCGTTGGATAAGCAAATTGAAGTTTAATTCTGGAGAATGGTCTTGAGTGAGTCCTTTGTTGGTTAAACGCTTAGGTACATGTAGAAGTCCTTGGGGGATGGTTAAGAGCCAGTTTGTTAAGAAGATTGTAAAAGCTTGATTAAGGTCTTAAAATAATAAAAGAGGTGTTAGGTAAACCCCTGCTAAATTCAAGCAGCTCTTGAATTATAGAATTTTTTTTTTCCCCCACATTTTAAAGTCAGCTCTTCTGGCTCCCACCACTTGTAAACTCATAGCCATAAGCAAGTTGAATGTCACTGTATCTATCATGCCCAGGGATATCCAGTATTTTATGCCAAACATTATGTTAAAAAATTTAGACAATTTAGTCCCTAATTTGCAATGCATTAAAGTACATTGGACAAAATATTTAATATAAGCAAATATACTAGAGGACAAAATGAAAGGGTTTTTATTTATTTAGATAGCCACTTAGGCCCCGTTTGTTTTGGGGTTAAATAGATGGGAGGAGATTAGGATGGAGATGGGGTTATTTAGTGTTGTGTTTGTTTGTAGAGTTGGGAAGGGGATTAGGATGGAGGAGGTGATATAGATGGAGGTTGGAAGGGGGATTGAGATGGAGGAGGTGAAGATGGTATTAGAAAAATAGTGAGGGGATTAGAAATTTTTTTATTTTTTATATAATGGGAATTTTTTTTTAAAATATTAATATTTAATTTTTTATATATTTTTTATTTGTTTTATTATTTTATATAAAAATAATTTAACAATTCCTACACTAACAATTATCATCAAAACAAACACAATTTTACTTAATCCCCTCACTATGAATCCCCTCACTATGAATCCCTTTCATTTTACCTCTGAAAACAAACGGGGCCTTAGTTGTCTATCAAGTGGTACTTGGTGTTAAGAGACTTGAACCCAAATACCTCTCCCAACTTGAGCTTTGATTCTATATTAAGTCACTTATTGTCTCAAAAGCTAAAGTTATTAGGAAATGTGTCCAACAATGTATATATCAAGCTTTCCAACACAAATGTTTGAGATAATTTTAATCATGTTACAGTTTTACAAATAGTTGTTTTAAGTTTTTAATTCGATTAATTTTTCTTTTTATAAATAATATTGTCAGGTGGAGAGTTTCAGACCAACATCACCAGATTTACATTGCCAATTCGTGTGCTTGCATTTAATAAATCTGGTAGCATGTTGGCAGCCGCTGGTGATGATGAGGGCATTAAACTTATCAATACTATAGATGGTTCAATTGCAAGGGTTCTGAAAGGACATAAAGGGTCAGTCACTGGTTTAGCTTTTGATCCTAAAAGCGAGTACCTGGGTTCACTTGATTCAGTTGGGACAGTCATATATTGGGAACTCCAATCTGGAATAGCATTACACACTCTCAAAGGCATTGCTCCTGACACTGGTTTGGATTTTTCTGTCATGAATATACTTTGCTGGAGTCCAGATGGTGAGGTGTTAGCTGTCCCTGGTTTGAAAAATGATGTTGTGATGTATGATAGAGACACAGCTGAAAAGCTATTCTCCTTAAGAGGTGATCATGTGGAACGAATTTGTTTCCTGTCTTGGTCACCTAATGGGAAATATATGGCCACTTCTGGTTTAGACAGACAGGTCTTGATCTGGGATGTGGATCAGAGGCTGGACATTGACAGGCAGAAATTTGATGATGTAATATGCTGTATGTCATGGAAGCCAACTGGAAATGCATTGGCTGTTATTGATGCTATGGGGAAGTATGGTATTTGGGAATCGGCCGTTCCATCATCAATGAAATCTCCTACAGAAGGTATTCCTAGTTTACAATCAAAGAACAATAATGGTCTCCTCTTGTTTGATGAAGAGGAAGAGGAAGAGGAACCTAATATATCTGGTAGTTTAAGTGATCTTGGTGAAGATAGCCATGATGAATCTGAACCACCTAGCAGAAAAAGATTGCGAAAACAGTCTGTATATAGTGACGATTTTGATGAAGAGATTAATGATGATTTGAGCTTGCTTCCAAAATCCCAGAAAAAAGCCTCTCATAGTCGAAAGGAAACAATGGAAAAGGGGAAGGAGGTACAAAAGAGCACAATTATCTCAGCAGGGTCAAAAATGCAGGAGGCTTTTCAACCAGGTTCTACTCCCATGCAGCCTGGAAAAAGGCGCTTTCTCTGTTACAACATGCTTGGAAGCATAACCACCATTGAACACGATGGATACTCCCATATTGAGGTATCCAAATTGTTGTTTCATTTTATCATTTGTCTTTGTAATTTTAATAAATAATAATGATGCTATGGTGCTTTTGTTGCTTAATGAGTGAAGCAAGAAAAAAGCTAGGTAATTTTAACCAGTCTGTATTATGTAAAGAGAAAATTGAAAGCATGACGAAGCTGTATTGATAACTCCGTTGATGCTTGTCAGTTGTGATATACCCTTTAGGATTCAAATAGAAACCATATGTACTAAAATATACTAAGTTCATAATTGAATCAAATCAGATCCCATTTGACATAATCTTAAACTGAATCAAGTGTGCACCTGATGAATTCAATTTTAATTCAGTGAAACATTTGTCCTATACATAAGACACGGATGATGGATTGTTGTAGGCCACTCACATTCATGCAATGCTACTAATAAAAAATTCTATATTATGTGCTAGGAGTACATTATAATTTATATTTCACTGTCACTATGACAATTTACCATTTCACTTCCCTATTTATGAGATGGCTTTAAGATTGCTGGCAATGAATTGATGTATCACACTTAAATTTTCAGTGTTCCAAATCAAAACAACCCATATTAATTACTAATATTATCATATAACACGGAACAGATAGATTTTCACGACACTGGAAGAGGCCCTCGAGTTCCGTCAATGACTGATTACTTTGGTTTTACAATGGCTGCACTAAATGAAAACGGAAGTGTGTTTGCAAATCCATGCAAGGGTGAAAAGGGCATGAGTACTCTCATGTATCGTCCCTTCAGCAGCTGGGCAAATAACAGCGAGGTTGGCTAGTTTTTTTTTATAGTATTTCTTGTGTTTGTGGTTTACTCTCATGCTTCAATATCTGCATCCTCATAACTAGACGCAACATCTACAAATGTAAAATTACCTTCTTGAAAAAACTATGAGGGAGCTTCACCATTGCTGATTGTTAACTAATGCAAATCCAGTGGTCTATGCGTTTTGAAGAAGAAGAAGTGAAGGTTGTGGCACTTGGTACTGCTTGGGTAGCTGCTGTTACAAGTCTTAATTTTCTTCGCATCTTCAGTGAGGGTGGCTTGCAGGTTTGTCATATAAAATTATTTATCTCACGTTTTTTTGAAACGAATCCATGATCATTTTGTCATGACAAGTAAATTATTGTCCTTATCACAGATGTGTAAACTATGCTAGTTATTTATTTACAAAGTAATATGTAATTTCAAGTTACATTTTCTAAATATTTCATAATTGTATGCTTGTTATCTGCACTTATCTTTGTTGCCACTTTGCAATACATTGTAGAGAAATGTTCTCTCTCTTGATGGGCCAGTCGTGACTGCATCAGGCTTCAGGGATGAACTTGCAGTTGTCACACGTGGTTCTCCTTCTCTTCCATCAAATGATCAGGTATTCTTTCAAATTTTGCTCGACAATCCCCTAGATAAATTAATGTTTTTTTCTGCATCTTCTAGTTGATCCAAGGCCGAGCCCGTATCACTTTCTAGTTGATCCAAGGTGTAATGAACTTTATTTTTCTTGCTGAATTAACTAATGGCATATGAATTTAATTAGTGAAATTCTGCTAGTTAGAGATGGCTGATGAGATGTGTTTTTGTAACCAAGTATACACAATATAAGGCTTTGTTAGCAAAACATAGATTGTTTAGTGAATAGTTTGAGTTCAAGAGCATATCATACTTCTTGGAGAAATGTTAAATAGTCTTTTTTTCCCCTGAGATGCAGATGCTAGAGTTTAGAGTGTTCAATATTCATATTGGGACCCAAACCCTCAGAGGTCAACTTCCACTGACTCCTGGTTCACATCTAACATGGTTTGGTTTCAGTGAAGAAGGCCAATTATGTTCTTTTGATTCCAAGGTTTGTTCATCTCCGTCATGCCACTAAAATATTCCTGTATTTCCTCCTTTGAAAGTTGATGTAAGTTTATGTAAATTTGTAGGGCGTGCTTAGAGTTTTCAACGATCAATATGGAGGCAGCTGGCTTCCACTCTTCAGGTATGAAAATTCTTCTTGTCTAATTTTGAGTTATGATTCTTGTAATTGAAATATTCTTTTTATATAGTTGCCAAATAAAAAGATCTAATATGCAGTTCTACGAAAATAAAGAAGTTGGAGGAAAACTATTGGGTTGTTGGATTGAATGCAACCAAGTTGTTTTGTGTTGTTTGCAAATCTCCTGATTCATTCCCACAGGTAGAATATCTCATCACCTCTGTTATTATTATTGTTTCTTTACTATTAATATCAAGAAGTTCATCCACATTGATGTTTTTTTTTTAAAATTTCTTATTCAGGTCATCCCGAAACCAATGCTCACTCTATTGGATCTTTCATTTCCTCTCGCATCTTCTGATCTGGGAGCCGATAACCTTGAGAATGAGTTTATATTGAACAACCTGTATCTCTCCCAGGTATACCTTGCTTTCCCGTTGTGGCATTTTGGCTTCATTATCGTAAAGATTATCAGCATTGCTGTTGATGATTAACAATATTGTATTTACCTATTTGCCTTCTCTTAGGAAGTTAAACAGAATGCTATTACTTCAACAACTGAATTATTTATATGATACTCCTTGTAGATTAACAAAAGAATTGAAGAAATGGTGGCTATCGGTCAGGACACCACTTCACTTGATGACGAGGCTTTCAATATGGAAGCATCTCTTGATAGATGCATCTTGAAGCTTATTGCGTCCTGCTGCAATGGTGAGTTTGTGCAAGTTAGCTATACCTTTTGTAACTGATTTCAAATAACAGTGTCAGTTTGGGGTCATTTTCATTTTTGGTTTTCTGTTTACATTTTTTTTGGAAAACAGAGTACTTGTTTCCAAATATGTTTCCAAGAAAATTTTCTTAAAGACCCCACTTTTTGCACAAAAAATGAAAACGATAATAAAACAATGAGTGCTTTTGAACTTTTTATTATTTTGTTTTTGAAAACACAAAACAAAACTAATTCCAAACAGACTCTAGCTTTTCCCTCCTATGTCAGGCACTTTAGTTGAGTTGGGTGATGCTGGTGTGCAGTGGGTTATGGAATCTGTTCTTTCCTTTTTCTGTGTATAAAATTTCTTTAAAATGGAAGACATGACTGAGCTTTGCTTGCTTGTGATGGTTATTTTTAGGTGACAAGCTTGTGAGGGCTATTGAACTCGTGAAACTTCTATCACTCGAAAAATCAGTCAAAGGTGCAATAAAGCTTGTAACTGCTCTCAAGCTTCCAAATTTGGCAGAGCGTTTCAGCACCATACTAGAGGTAATCCATCAATATCCAAACACGGTCTTGGTTATTCTTCATCAGAAATTCATTCCTATTGAACGCCTCTCTACCAATTTTTATTTTATATCATCTGAATACCATATTCCTTTCTTCAGGAAAGGATGCTAAATGAAACCACAACAGCTACAGCCTTCCCGCTCACAAATTTGAATACAGATACATCGGTCAAAGCTGATTTTGTGGCCAGCAAATCCTTTGCCTCAATGGAAAATATTAGAACTTCAGAACCCGCTATTCTGTCATCATCACAAAACTTGTCTTCCCCTCCCTTTATGAAAAAAGGGATATCAGAAGAAGCAGCTAAAGCTGGGAAGATGAAAATGGAGCAGAAGAAAAGTGCAAAGTCGGAGAACACAGGGGAGGTAAAGAACGACGGGGAGGCTAAAAGTGGAGAGGTGAAGAAGGTAAGCGAGGCGAATCAGGCACAAATACGCCCATCTAATCCTTTTGCAAAGTCATCAAACAAGCAAGAAAAAACTTCTTTATTTGAATCTCTCAAGAAGATGAAGAATGATAGCACAGGTAAAAAATGAGAAATCCATAGGAGGGGGAATGTTGGGAAGTTGATAAGAAGACTCGAGCTTGCACATTTACGTTTGGTAAAGGAGCACCTCATTTACTCGGCCAATCCTTTAGTTTGTCGAAATGACTCAATTGTTTTTTGGCCAAGATGTACAATGGTTATTAGTGTATATTAGTGCATTTTAATATTTAATTGGTTAAATGAATAGATTAATATAGACTTACTTATGAAGTGGAAGTCCATGAAGCTTTATGAAAGCATAATATAATATGAGGACTATAATATTAATTTAGAAAGAGAAAATGGATAAGCGTATTACTGGCATTGTTGAATTGGGTATGATGGAATGGTTTAATTTAAAGTATCTGGGCAAGAAAAAGGAAATATAGGGAGAGTTTTTATTTAGAGCAGACCCTGTGGAATGTGAGAATATGTTAAAGTTTTTGAGGGTTTATAGCGAAGCATCTGGCCAGATCTTTAGACTTTGACAAGTCTGAAGTCTTGTTCTCAGCAAATGCATATGCATCGGTGGAACTCCGAAACTCTATTTGTAACATCTTGGGGGTTGTTCAGGCCAAGTATCTAGGCCTCCCTTCTTCTTGGGGCAAGCCCAAAGCCAACATCTTGAGGGTTGCTCAGCAATTTCTTGAGTAGTAATCATGGACCTGGTCAGCTCCCTAGAGTGTCGCAGTAGAACAGTCTCAGGTTGGCGACCATTTCCTCTTGGAAAACTCAAGATCAATTGTGATGCCTCTTTTTGCAACCAGCACTCCTGTTTTCATAGCAGCAGTTATGATGGACTCACATGGGCACTTGGGTTGAGTGGAATAGCAAGGGCAATTGATGCTTATGGCTTGTGTTATGGCGCACTCCTACAATCTTTCATATGTTGAGATTGAGAGTGATAGTCAGATGGTTGTTAATCTTTGCGTTTCAGAGAACGTTCCTCCTTGGGAAAGTAGTGCAGTGCTTTTGGATATTCCTGAATTTGCAGCACAACATCACCTCTCCTTTTCTTGGACGAGCAGACGCAATAACATGGCAGCCCACTGGGTTGCAAAAGCTCTAACAGCCAGATCCTTACCCTCTAATTGGATTATCTCTTCTCCTGCTATGCTTGTTTCTTTGCTAGTTTCTGATGTAGCCTTTTCTCCTCAATGTTTGAGTGGAATAGCAAGGGCAATTGATGCTTCTTCGGTAGTATCAGCAGAAGCCCAGGCAGTTCGTATAGCTTGTATTGTGGCACTCTTACAGTCTTTCATATGTTGAGATTGAGAGTGATAGTCAGATGGTTGTTAATCTTTGCGTTTCAGAGAACGTTCCTCCTTGGGAAAGTAGTGCAGTGCTTTTGGATATTCCTGAATTTGCAGCACAACATCACCTCTCCTTTTCCTGGACGAGCAGACGCAATAACATGGCAGCCCACTGGGTTGCAAAAGCTCTAACAGCCAGATCCTTACCCTCTAATTGGATTATCTCTCCTCCTGCTATGCTTGTTTCTTTGCTAGTTTCTGATGTAACCTTTTCTCCTCAATGTAAGGTAAAGTTTTGGTTTGGTGTTCACAAAAACAAAACAAAGAAAAATAAGTTATACACACTGTGTTACTCCCAAACTATTGAAATATTTGAAATTAATTAGGTTGCATAACCAAACAAGGTACCGTCAACACTAAATAATATTATGTTAATAATTTTTAAGTTATTTACACTACAATTTTTTAATTATTAAAATAAATATTATTTTATCACTAATATATATATATATATATATATATAACCTCATAATTATAAAAATTGTATAAACCCCTTTGTTTTGAAAATGAGGGATTATTTTAGATTGTTTTGTATATGAGAGAATAAAATAATATTTGTTTATAATTAAAAAAGTCTATTAGCCCAGTGAATAAAAAATCTAAAATTTCATCTATTTTTTTTTATAAAATTTATAATATAAACATACTAATTGATTTAATCATACACGTGATACAGAGGTAAAAAAATGAATAGAAAAATAAAAAGAAATTGAGGAAATAAGAGTGCCTTACCTGATGATGGTGGAGAAAAAAATAAAAAGAAATACAAAGAGTTTTGTTCTTCCTTATTGAGAGAGTTTTTGATTGTTCTTCAGAGCGTCCTTCTTTCTTTAGAGCTTCCTTCTTTAGAGCTTTGTTCTTCACAATGATAATGTAAAGGGCAGTGGGTTGGTAAGAGTTGATAGTTAAGCAAATCTAAGCCATTGAATCTTATTTCTTAGATAAATCTAGAGTCATTGTTTTGAAATTAGACAAATCTGGAACATTGAAGATAGTTTGTAAGAGAGATATTTTTAAAAATAAATGAGCCATTATTTTTAAATAAGACAGATTTGGACAATTAATTTGAAAGAGATTTTCAAACTAACCCTTCCATTGTTATACAAATATATATATTTGACCTCAAAATTATAAAAATTATATAAATGCCTCTGTTTTGAAAATGAAGGGTGTAGACACCTCATTTTGACCGGCCCTAAGACTTGGGCGCTTTCTTTTGATTACTCGATAATGACAATTAGAATGTGTTTCTCACAGAATCCTCAGTAAGAGAGATGAAATTTGAGCTTTAATCCCAACCTTCACACATTTTTGGCCAAACTATTTTAGACCTAAAACCCTCTTTTCAAAATATTTTTCCAAACATTTCTACGATGTTCCGAGGCTCCCATTTTAATTAAAATATTACACTTTTCAGTAAACCAAGTAAGGACAAAGTGGAAATAAATGGAAGAGAGGTGAACTCTTTGAAAAAACATTTAAAAAAGATATTTTTTATAGGTTTGGATTTGAAGGAAATATGAGGGGATGAAAGAAAACTAGTTTAGGAAAAGAATGAGCATCAAATCATTAAGAAGGAAATGAACAACTTTTAATAAATTAGGTATATCTATTTGTACACTTGGAATTTAAATGTGATACCACCACCGTTGGAAAGTAGACTTCTAGGGCTTCAATTTAGACCCAAGAATCACCTAAAACCGAGTTCGGATAATGGAGATATGCCCGTTTGAAGTTGGGCTTAAGAGCAGATTTTGTTGACTTGGAAATGAATAGCTTTCACTAAATTAGGCATATCTTTTTGTATATTTAGAATTTAAATGTGAGACTACACCATTGGAAAGTAGACTTCTGGGGTTTCAATTTAGACCCAAGAATCACCTAAAATCGAGTCCAGATAAGGGAGAGATGTTCGTTTGAAGTTGGGTTTTAAGAGTAGATTTTGTTGAACCGGCCCGAAATAGCATCAAACCTGTTTTTTTGGGGTTTTGGTTTGGTTGGGACACCTCATTAACTCAATTTCTGATATATTCATCACCGAATATATATACACTTAGCCTCCATTATCTAAGGCTTGATCCATTAGAGATAATGCTCCACTTTTGTCTCCCATTAGCTCTATTAGTGCTCCATTAACTTCAAATATCTTCCTTTTGTCTTTCACCTTGTCTTCTACTATTTCTCTACTTGCTTAGCCTATATAGATACATCAGATTGTTGAGAGAAGTAAGAGGATAGATTAAGGAGAAAACATTTGAGCTAGAGAAAAGAGGAAGAAAAGAGAGAAAAGTTGAGTTTTTGAGCTAAATACATTCCTATCTTCCAAAACACTTCCAAGTTGTCATAGCTACTGAAATTCCTCATTTCCATACACCAAAACCACCCCAAAAATTCTGATATAGCCAAAGATCAATTACCTTGATCATAAGGAAGAGTGTTTAGTGATTGAAAGTGAGAAAAATTAGAGAGTTAGCAAATTTCCATACCATAAACTCATAATTTCGAATTGAGGATTTGAGAACACACTTCTTACACTTAAGGGTGATCAAAAGGGAGTTTGTGAATTAAGGAGTTCATCATTTCCTTGGAAGGTGAATTTTACAAACTTTTCATTTTCTTGCATTTCTTACTTATTTTGCTCTTTTGTTTTGTTTTTTTTTTTTTTGTTATATTGTATATTGTTGTAATCTAATTGAAAGTGGTGAATTGAAGTCCCATATATGTTGTTTTTAGTATGAGAAAGAGACCTTCTATGCTAAATGGTTTAATCTATTCAGAGGTTCATTACCAGGGCATTACATCTCTCTCATGCCAAGAACAACTCCTTATTTGACACTTCTCTTATTTTAGTGGACATAACTCTCATTTTTGGACTAAAATGACTAAAGAATGGCAAGGTAATTAAAAGGGCTAATAAAATTGGACTAAAAGAGACACAAGATAATAAAATTGAGTTCGGTTCAATTAGATGTCATATTGAATCCATTGTCTTTTTTTTTTATACTTATTTTGCTCTTTTGCTTTGATTTCTAGTCATATTATATATTGTTGTAATCCAACCGAAAGTGGTGAGTTGAGACTCCCATAGATATTGTTTTTAGTTTTGTTTTCATTGTTGAAATCTAAGAAAACAGAGTTTGGCCGAGTTTACTGGGCTACCCAGCCCGTTAGTTGGTCGGGTAGCTACCTAAAAGTACATCATCGCGCCCGCAACCTTCATGACCGTGCCTCCAACCTCTAGGCAAAACTGGGCTGCCTTTCGACGTTAAGAAGATCAACCTCCAATGGTCTTTGAGGCACTTGAAGCTACCATTTTCTTATGTTTATTTTATTCTGAGTGTTTGTGAGGATTTTTATATTGTGTTATCTCTTTCGAATTTGTAATATTTAAAATGTTGTAATAATTTCCCACCCCGTTTCTTTCTATCCCGTTCTTTTACTTGTTTTCTTTATTTGTAAATATGTATCATATTTTGTTTTTCATTATATCCATGTTTTGCATCCATGTTTCATGCATCTTACTTCGGCTAAGTTTGCATTTGTGGATTTAATCAATTCCTATGTGATTATGTGCGCTACCTCATATTTTTGAGATGATTCACATGTCATATCTTAGAAGCCGAATCTTTAGTTGCATCTCATGAGTGAATTGCATTAGGATTTTTTTTGTATATAAGATCATGCATGTTTTACTAACTTTGTTTTGTAGCTGTTCGCGGGATGTCAGTAAATATGATTTCTCTACTTGCTTAGCCTATATAGATACATCAGATTGTTGAGAGAAGTAAGAGGATAGATTAAGGAGAAAACATTTGAGCTAGAGAAAAGAGGAAGAAAAGAGAGAAAAGTTGAGTTTTTGAGCTAAATACATTCCTATCTTCCAAAACACTTCCAAGTTGTCATAGCTACTGAAATTCCTCATTTCCATACACCAAAACCACCCCAAAAATTCTGATATAGCCAAAGATCAATTACCTTGATCATAAGGAA